CACCAAAGGTAGGCACATGAAGGGGGTAGCATATATATATATATATACACACACCTGGTTTTTTCCTGAGCCCAGACTAAGGCCTGGGCTGCATGTCCAGGGGCGCTGGTTTCAGCCCAGAGTTTCTGCGCCGCTGCAGCAGGCTTCCGGACATGGCAGTCAAGGCAACGAGAAAGCTTTCGAGTCCTTTGCGACTCGTCTGATGGCGCAATTAGCCGTCCGCTACGTCTCGATACTTGAGGCAAGCAGCACCAGCAAACTCATCAAATCTCATGTTGAATTGTTACTATCACTGGCCTGATGTTCGTTGTCGGTACCACGTTCACTACCTCGACAATGTGCTCGGATTTATCTTGTGCCTGCCGTTACATTGCGCCGCAAGGCAGTATCCCTGCTAATCATTGTACCGCTGTGCTTCTCCTCACTACTATGCTCGTCGTCCATGATGATACACAAATCCACGGATGTAGGCCACTTGCCAAAGTTTCTCAGGACGTCTCCATCTCGAGCAAGCCGAGGATCCGGCACGTCGGCATTCACGTGGGCACACCACCTGGAACGTGAAGGTTCAGGGCTTCGGGCTGCGAGATTGAATCGGATGTAGAGCTTACACTGGACTCCAGAGCATCATGTGAATCAGCCGTCGCCTCGAAATAGTACCGTCAGGAATCTCGCGATCTGAAAGGTCACCTCGTCCTGACCTCTGAGTCAGACGGCCGCTCCAATCGTCTACGAAGCAATCTGAGAACCTGTAACGACGCTAACGACGATGACGAAGAAGATTCTCGTGATGATGACTTTGGTGGGAATGATGACGAGCAGAATGACGCCTGCCATGGTTGTTCGCACAAACATGTTTACTGACACTGATAGGTTTTGAAACAGTTGCCGTAACGAAGATGACGGCTCTCAGATACAGGCACTCTTTTGCCACTAAAAAACCTCATCGTCCAACCTCGTTGGTTAAAGCGCGTGTCCTCATCAATTGCAAATCGTCATGACGATAAACTTGATGAACACGGGGGAATTCGACGAGGTGCCTACATTGGATCATACTGTATCTCAGGGCCCTTGCCCATCAGGATCCGCATGCGCATGCCTGACGAATGCATGGATAGGAATGCGCAGGAGGTTGCTTCGCAGCAGCTGCTTGCGCGAGGACGACCGGCTCAAGACCGCCCAAGCAGTACACATACCTGCCTTCCCAAGCGGATCCAAAATGGGAATAGTATCTGTAGCCTGTGCCGATCGTTATCGGCCGGAATTCGCGCATGCCGATGGCAAACTAGGAAAGGCAGGGTCTCTGCCTTGGAATCGACGTGCAGCTAGCCGATAGCTTCGCCAGGCTTGCCTCCAGGACCTAGCAATCAAACATGCTCGTTGTTCGCATCCCCCGCTTTCTTTCCAGGCTTCTCAGCTTGGGCTTGAAACACTGGTTCAACCAATCAGCCCCAGATCCAACTTCGGAGTTCCTGGCACCAACAAACCCACGAGGATCCGAGATGCTCCGAGGCTCCAGCAGCCGCCGTCGCTTTGCACTGAGCGGGCTCGCCACTGCCACGGAAACGGATGCCGGGAGGGCCTGGGCACGGATGTCAGGAATGCTAGAATGTTATCCCTTGGCTATCGCGGCCTTTGATGCGAGCTGCGGCGCGCAAGAGTCGTCAAGAATCTTTCCCATGACCACTTCTTGTCGGCCGACCAGCAGGTCAAAAACTTGATAGGAGCCACGAGCCCTCCACCTCAGCCTCCAACGCTGTCGAATTCCCCATTAATTTGCCACGGACCACGCCACCCTCCACCCAGGTTTGCTCCTTGATGCTTCGTGCGGAAGTCCCCCAATTCCAGGGCCCACGCGACATTCACGAACGCTGCAAAGCGATATCGATCAACTCCCGACTTCCCTACACTTGAACGAGAACCCCAGCAGACTAGTCAACAAGAGAATTCTGTTGATCTGATGAGCTCGGTGTCGTGCTGCCAGTAGGTCTGGCAAGTCATAGTGTCGCAGCACGCCATGGATCTGCATCTGCCACCTTGAGTGAGAATTTGACTGCAAGATGACGTGAGGTTCAAACCAGCGGCGACTTCAGTAGATCCAGCAATTGTCGAAATGCGTATCTACTCCCCGCAGTATTTATGAAAATTGCTGCTGCTCCACGCTGCTCGATCTCTGTCGACTTCTCAGAACATTGTTTGAAGTTGGGAGCTATCAGCCAGGCTCAATTTACAACATCATTGAGCCATACTTCCCGGGCTCCCGAACGGCAAGCGATGCTTTCGAGCACGGGCCTCGGGGCTTTGCGGGCTGCTGGGCTGGGCTCTCGTCACACGGGGTGACCCTCCGCCTTCTTCCTCCGCTGCGTGGAGCTCCGAGTGCGGGGCCACCTCGGCCAGCTCAGCGACTGCGTGGAGCAGCACCACCGCCGCCAGGTGGGGCACCTGCAAATGTGCAGATGATGCAGGTGCGTAGTGCTTTTTCGGTGCTTCCTATCCGAGAAACTTCGCCGGCGAGACGTGCGGAGCTGCCTGTCAATAGATCCACACTCGATTGAAAGAAGCTGCGGGGGTGCACTTGATGGGATGCACACTGCAGAAGATCAGCTTTCCTACGGCACGTTGCGATATCAGAGACCCGGACATGCAGCACAGCTGCACTCGAGCTGCCGCGAGCCAGCAGAACAACCTGTAGTCAGGCAGGCAGATAGCCAAGCAGACGTAGGTTCATACAAAAGTGCACACATACATACATGCATGCATGTATACATGTACACCTCATAACTCCATACACACACCCAGGTACCCAAACACACCGCCAGACAGATGGTTTGCGGAACCTCGGTACTGTCTGGAGGTAAGTAGCGTGTGGGTTTGTTTGGAGGCCCGGCTTAGTCCGCATACTCTTGCGCCGTTGTGCAGTGCAATCTCGTTTTGGCTCACTGCGCAGCTGCACAGTTGACTTCAAGCAGGTCGCTTCTGATGCGCAGGGGATGTGGGAACCAAACGACCAGGGCTCCATACTCCTTGAGCACAGTGGTTAAATGACTTCGATGACATGCATCTTTTCCTTCTGCCAATTAAATGACTAAAGCGGCAGGGCATCTTGTTCTCACTGGATGTGAGAGAAGAAAGGTAGGTTGAGTTGCCCCACCAGCGAAACCGAATAACATGTATTGAACATGGGCGTGCGCTTATGGTGACTCCTCAACCGTCTAGGGCTTGTGCAGCTGATGTGCCGGCTCTCAATCAGTCAATCAGTGAGAGCTCCTGACAGACTTCCTGTTTAACAGGAAGCCCTTGAGTGGGGTTTACGCACATGTGGCACATCAGGAAGCAACAGCCGAAAACATACAACAAAGTTATTGCACCCTTTGCGGTTGGTAGAACCGGTTGCAAAAAACAGCGAACGAGGACCAGAGGGCTCTACTCAACTCCAAGAAAGAATCAGGTTGCGCAGGAAATTCATTGTGTGCCTGTCGCAATCACAAGCTTCGCCGAACACTACGGCAGACTACAATGCAAATTGGGGCTCATCGATGCGGTACGACATCAATCATGCACGCAGATCGCGAGGCAGTCTGATCGGAAGAGGTTCTTGCTTGCTCCTGTGGCTGTGCTGCTACCCATGGGAGCTGCAGAACCAGCAGTGCTGCCGGACGTTCATGCTTGCAGATGGTCAGGCATCGCTGCACCACATCCCGACACTCCACTGAAATGGCTTCCCACTGCATACCCTGGCATGTCACTGGCACGACAACAGCCGGGTCTCTGCTGACACGTTGCGGAAGTGCCCCTATCAGCATCCAGTGCAGGCACAAGCCGGCGCACCAAATGTCATGCTGCTCGGAAGGCGACTCTCCGTTCAAGACTTCCGGAGCAGCATACTCCGGGGTCCCTGTCATTGTAAGAGCGCCACCCTCCAGAAGTGGCCTCGCAGTGTTGAAATCCACCAGGTGTAGGTCCATAAGATCAGAGGACACCAGGATGTTGTCGGCCTTAACGTCCCGATGCACGATGCGATGCTCGTGCAGATACGAAACTGCGGAGATGAGCTTGCGAAAGAGCCGCTTCGAGTCTGCTTCCATCAAACAGGAAGACGCGGAGTCCCTGACGGCTCTATACAGCGTGCTGCCCGAATGGTAGCTCAGGGCGATGACTGCAGTGCTGTCTGAACAGAAGAAGTCCAAGCCTTGCACGATGTTGGGATGACTCAGGCGGGACAGTATCTCGAACTCTGCGCGGCGTGACGCAACAACATCTGGAGTGGCTGCTGACATGACCTTCAGAGCGACTTCCTTCTCATCTGCCTTTCTTCGAGCTCGGAACACCTGCCCACTTGAACCGCGCCCGATTTTCTCCAGCAGGACATAATTTTCTATACCTGCCGCCTCGTCATCGGGACCTAACGATTCGGATGATGCTGTCCTGATCAGGGTGCCTAGGCAAGAACAGCATATTGCCACACGCCCGAGCCGTACGCCTCTGAAGTACAAAACAAAACCCAGACACCATAGAACATCCCAAGCCCCAAAAGCCTTAACCCTGAACACACGAAGACATGCTTAGACAGTCTAAAAACAAACCTCGGACCTCCTAAATCAGTCTAAAACCCAAAACTCTCAAATGCTACAAATCCAACAATTGTATCTATGTATAGAGACGATATTGGGGGCTCTTATAACTAAAAACTTCGACTTCTTTATTACCAAGGCGCCACAGAGCGGACACGGACACGTTGCGACGCCGGCTCAGCGGGCTACTCCGGTCTGAGCGCTCGGAATCCACAGAGACCACTGCCATCGCCATCGGTCTGAGGCTTTGAAGACGGGGATTCTGGGGCCACGGGCCTCAAAAGGGGTCAAAGGGGTCAGGATTTTCCGACCAACAAGGGCAGAGCTGGTGACTGAACTCTTCGAAGCTTCGCCTGCCTGCCGTCTTGGACACAGAGTTGTGCTTCGAGGTAAGAGCCGGAAATCTGCAGGGTTTGGTTTGGGGCCGGTTCCCGGGTGTAGGGTTTAGGATGCACCACCGAACAGAACGACCTCTTCATGAGCATAACGCTGAGGCAAAGGCCTGCTGAGATCTCAATTGCCTGCACAGGGAGAAGTTCTGTGATCTGATGTCATTTGATGCACATTCTACGCATAAACCTCTGAAGATACGGTGCGGAGGTGGAATTGAGCCAACTGACAACTAATGCGGCGTAGCGGGATCTAACTCATTCCAGGCATGCGGGTCCAATTGTGACCGATCCGTGGGGTCTTTGATCGCTTGCCACTTTGATGGATCTGTTTCTGTGAGCCAAATACCGGGATGCAAAAGGCCCTCCCTCCCGTCGGACATGCTGTGCCGTGTACGCATCAATCTGCAATTCCTTGTGATTAAGTCCACTTTCTTCTCTTGCTGCTTGTAGAGTGAAGCTTCGCCAAAAAAGCGCTGAGGTCACGCTTGTCACGCGGCTAGTTGCGCAGGAATTAAGCCAACCGGGTCAGGGGCTTGCCTGAATGCCCATGACACGGTGGCAAGGACCTGGCATCTGTTCCACTGGACTGGATTCAGCAACATCCCTAAACCCTAAACCCTAAACCCTTGGCATCCTATGCGAAGCGAGCCGGCTACTAGCATACTCCGGCATACAGGCACCATCCAGCAAGTCAGCCTCTGACGCGTGGTAGCCGACGTGGGACTTACCTGGAGGATTCGAGACTTGCCCGGAACCCCCAAAGCTGTGCTCCACATGACCGTCAATGGCCAAGCATGCAATGGTAAGCTGCACTTCGCGATGGAGTGTGTCAACATGCCAAAGCGCATGTCAACAAGCAAAGATGAGCGAGAATTGTGCGAAAACGCTTGCCGCACACTCATGTGCAACGGCAACCAATCAGCGGCTCAAACCGACACATTTTTACACGAAACTTGAATTCAATGGCAAATTGCTCTTGTGGCTGCTCCACCCTCAGGCTCCCTTGCTTGTCTGTCATGCGCACGGAGGAGTCACAATGCTTTCTCCGTGCCGCCCATGCCTGGCCTAGCAGTAATGGGGCAAACTGCCAAAGACCACCTCGCCAGAACCTTAATCCCGTGTCGGTCATAGTTGGGGGCAGCTAGACACTGCAAGATGCTTCATCAAGGAAAGCGCAAGCGAATCGACACAATTCAGTACTTCTGGCAAACAGTCTTGTCGACGAATGAAGAGAGCTGCTCCTATGGAAAAAGACCGGAAGAGCTTGGAGAGCAGCAGACCTGTCTGTGGCCAGCACGGGTCACCCTGTCCGCAAAGGCCGACAAAAACAACGGAGCCAAAGCCCTGGTCTTGCCTTTCAGGCGCAAGGTGCTTCAAAGGATTTTTCGCGATGGGTCTCCGCGGAAGCACTAAACAATATTAATATGTCAATGAAATTCAACAAACTATGTTAGCCTGCGGTGCTGAGTCTCTGAGTGCATAGTGTCGGGAGGGCTTTCACCAAAGAAGACTTCCAGCAGCTGCGAATCTGTTGTAGTTGCACTTATCCACAGGTGCTTACCTAGCGAGACCAAGTCTGCTACCACTCCCAAACAGTGCCCGGTTTCTCGTAGCTCAGGTCCGGACAACTGGTTTAGTAGCAAGTCCTGCTTGCAGCGGTCGCTTGAATAACAGGCAACATCGGTTATGCAAGCCTCGGTTTTGTGTTCCCAGGAACATATGTCAGCATAGCTGCTCCTCCATCTTCGTGAGCTCACGGTTCAGGTCGGCTGCCCCGCCGAACACCAGCACGGTGATGCCGGCCTCTAGCAAACAAACGTGGTGTTGAGCAGCTGTCCAGAGGTCATCTAGTGTGGGCTTTTCCGTACAATCCAGCGGCTCTTCATCCTTGTGCGGCGTGTGTGTCGCGCAGGCAAACACAGATCTGTGTCTGGAGATACACGTCTGCGCAGGTACAGCAGTACAGCAAGCTTTTGCTTCAGCAGGATTAGTCATGAGTGTACTGTGATCTGCCCAGTAAGCAATACTCTCGTTGACACTGCCACTCGTCTGTCCTAAGTACCTGCATTGGCACATTCCAACAAGCAGCCCTTGCCTCGCCTGTTAGCAAGTCGGCAACTGAAATCGGTGGCCTCCTTCGCAGGGCTCCTCCAATGTTCGAAAAGCCGGAGCCTGGGGATCGACAAGGAAACGTCAGGCGGACATTGATGTATGTGGTCGGTCAAGCCTGTGTCAAGCAAGTACCCTTGATGGCAGCAGCAACAGTAGCAGTCGGATCTGCACAGTAGCGGCACTGGTGCTGCTGCTGCTGCTGCTGCTGCTGCTGCTGCTGCTGCTGCTGCTGCTGCTGCTGCTGCTGCTGCTGCTGCTGCTGATGCTGGTGCTGTTGCTGGCGCTGCTGCTGGTGCTGGTGCTGCTGCTGGTAGTGGTCGTCGCGGTCGTCGTGGTCGTCGTCGTGGTCGTCGCCGCCGGCATCGTCGTCGTCGAAGTAGTAAGAATAATAATAATAGTAGTAGTAGTAGCAGTAGCAGTAGCAGTAGTAGTAGTCGCTACTGCTACTACTACTACTACTACTACCACCACCACCACCACCACCACGACTACTACTACTACTACTACTACTACTACTACTACCACTACAACAACTACTACTACTACTACTACTACTAC